AAGAACATCATTGAACTGCTAAAATATGTTGGTTTCAAAGTCGTTAAGTAGGGTGCTGGCTGAGTTGCCAATCTCGCCGGCTGATCATAGCCTTTAATTATTTTTTTTAACTCTCTTTGGTTTTTGAAACAAAAAAAAATATAAAATTTCAGTCTTCTAAGGAAATGATTAAAGGCAATTATAACTTCATTTCCATTTTGTTTTCTTTGAACATACACAATAGCATTTTATTTAAAACTCAACTGAAAATTGTGTTTTTTTTGTTGCTGTTATTGATTACAGAATGGCATATCGATGTGATATTCTGCACATAGTGTTTAATGTAACTATGCTTCTTTGTTATGTTTGTTGTGATAAATGTAGATGAACTTAATTAAAGTTTTGTTCTGAGGGTGCACAGGTTGATTAGTCTGAAAGTTGAAATAGGTTATTTGCATTGTGTAAAAATGTAAGTAATGTTTCATAGAATTTTAGCTACCATCAAAGTTAATTGTTACCTTCATGAAACAGAAGTATTCCATTATGTTGGTTTTGTTATTATGACCTTAATCCGTAATTACTGATGAATCGTGATTAAAACTGAAGGTATTTGGACTGCACATGACTAATTTTAAGGAATTCAAAGTCATTCACAATTTTTAACATTCACAGGCTGAACACCACGAGATTTGTCATTTGAAAATTTATCCTTTAACCCTTCGTCGTGCGTAGCTCACTTGAGATGTCAGCAAAAGCATTATGTGTCAAATTAGCAATTTTGATTGCTTTAGTTTAAGTTTCATTTTGTTTATTAAACTTTTGTTGTATTTGTTTTCCTTAAACGTTACCCGAGGTAACCCTGCCGGTGTTTTGAATTAAAATTGATTAGGAGGTCGGTGGCCTCTAAGGCCGGGTGCGCCCGACGATGAGTTAAGCTCGATTTTTCTTCGCGTGTAAAATTGATATTCAGTTTATCATAATTTTTTTCGAAACCAATCGCTACTGCACATTATTCATCTTTATTAATATAGTCTCGGCTTAAGTGGGCACAATCAATTTTCAATTTATGCATCTTCTTTATATACAATGCATAACATTAAAAGTATTAACATAATAAGAGTCATAAATATTTAACCCAATTTTTTTAAGGATTATATTAGTTAGACTAGAACTCTTCTTAAAATCTGTCTGTGAGCTACACGTTTACCGAATATAACTCACTACTAGATATAACTATGCAAAAAATGAATGTATGAATCATAAAAGAATTAAATACGAGTTATTTGGATATTCACCGCTTTGGTTATTCGCTTTTGATGCTGTTCTTTTTGAATAATCAAGTAGAATTTTTTTAAAAAATTTAAACTATTAAGTTTCAGCTGTTTTTTAAATCAGCAAAAGAAATTAAAAAATCTAATATTTTTTCTTCATTTTGGACTTAAAAGAGAAGAAAAGATTGCTAGGATTAAATATATGGTAACGTTTGAACAACAGAGAATGAAACTTAAGGAAGGGGGTGGGAACTCTTCAATGTTCCTGTTGAACAAATATTCTTAACTTTCGGGATAGAATTCAACAGAAATGCTTTCTGGAATATATATATCTATTTTATTTGAAAATGAATTAATTTAATCGATAGATATATCTGGCCGCGTTACGTCTGTTATTTTAATGGAGCAAGCTATACTACATCACGCTTGCTGTCGAATTGTGTGTGTTCCATATTTATTTTACCATGATATATTTTTGTTGAAACATTAGTTTGTCTGATAGTACTTGCAATTGCGAAAGAAATTCTTTTATTATGAAATGGAACATTTATTTTTTCATGTTCTTGAATTTTGAAGTTGTGAGGCTCTAAAATCTCAAACAATTCAATTCTTTTTATTAACACCCTTTTATATATAAGCTTCACTTGTATGTAACGGAATCTTTGACTTTAATTTTACCCACTTTAAAAGGTCAGATTAATTCGAAATTTTGTTCACTTGTCCGGGACCGATGACAGTACAATAATTTAATAATTTAGTTCAGGTGTCCTGATCAGGATCATCAGGAATAACAATTTTCCATTTTCAGATCCCATCCCGCATCTGGCGAATAATTTCAGGTCCCATTTCCAGATTTGGTGACTAAAAGATTAAGTTACAACTTAGTTCGGTTAACTATGAAAAGGTGTTTTTTTTAAAAAAAATTGAAACTATAATTTATTCCTCACCTTTTCAATATCCTGAAAGAGAATTTCAATTTTAGAATTAATTTATACATTTTTTCCCCGAAATAGCCTCCTTTTTGATCAAAAGGTAATGTTGTCCTTCAAATGTCTAGTCATTGGTTTAACTCAGAGGTTCCCAAACTTTTTTTGTCTCATAGACCCCTTGCCATGTTTTTGGGTTTGGAGTAGACCCCTGCCTAATTAATATTGAATTTTTGCAAATTTATCAACTTAAATGTCTTTTTGACAGCTGGTACTACTACTCCTACTTTAAAAGAATTAAATTTCTAACTGTAATGAAGTATGGTGTTTAAAATTTAAAAAGCACATGTTAATTAAATTAAAAGTTAATAAATGCAACTGACTAAAATAAACTAACTAAACAACAAACAAATGATCTTAAGGGGAGGAAGGAATCTCTAGCACTACAATATCAAATTTTCAACATTTAGTATTAATCTTGTCTGGTTTATAACCTTAAATTTCCTCTGTTAGTGTCCAATTTTCTTTTTGGAGATTGGCAACCGCACTGAAGCTCCTTCACACTAGGAAAAGCAAAGAAAAACTTCCTCACGATATTCCAAAAGTCGAGATAAATAACAGGTTTGACTTTTTAAAGCCAAAATTGCTGGCATTCGTTTCTAAACTTTAAGATCGTTAGAGTTTATTACGATCAGTTCCTATTGTAATGTGACATTTTTTTTTTTCAATATGACTATACGAATTCATTGCCTACTGTATTGCCATAGTCAAATCATTCTCAAATCTATCTTCAAAACCTGAATAAAAGGCTTTTAAATGTTGAACGTAGGTTAAAACGTTCTGACAGAGTATCTGTGACAAATTTAGAAAATTCGAGACCTTCAGTATTAGGAAAGAAAAGCTGAAATATTTCTTGCTTTAATAAAATTTATGCACCTTGTAAATGCAAATTAATTTCATTATATTTAGTAAATAAATCTGTTAAATATGTAAAATTTGGTTTCAACATGATGATAATTTTTTTAAAAAATTAGTCATGGTTTAGTTTAATGAGATCCACTATCATAGACTTACACCTCACTTTCACCTCATGGACCCCCAAATTAATTTTTGGCTGGCGTAGACCCCTTGGTGGTCGTCGTAGACCCCTGGGGGTCTATATAGACCACTTTGGGAATCACACACACACATTTGGGTCAACTCACACCCACACACACAAAAAAGAGTTATTTCTTTAATAACACACAAATCCTTTGAGAGAGAAATGTGTTTTTATCCAACATATACACACATAGTATTTCTGATTGTAAATACGACTTGAATGATAATCTATGTGTCATATTTCAAAAATGTTTTTCTATGTCATTGTTTAACATGTTACCTTAAAAGCCATCTGTTCCGCAGGTGAAAAAAATTGGAGGTGGTGGATTTGGGGAAATCTACGAAGGCCTGGACTTGGTGACGAAGGAGTTGGTCGCCCTCAAACTCGAATCCGCCAAACAGGCCAAACAAGTGCTCAAGATGGAGGTGGCCGTGCTCAAGAAGCTACAAGGTATTTTTTTCATGTTTATTTTTATATTCAGAAAATTCATATAAAACAAGAAACTAAAATATCCTTTCTTCCAAACTACAGAGAAAATCGTTTAACACAAAACTGAGAGGACCGAAATATTTGTTCTTGTTAAAAGGAATTCGTGTTAAAGAATATCGCAAAAAAAAAAAACATATATTCAACAAAATTAAGCTTATTTGAGTAAATTTTATTAGCATAGATATGTATACAGTAGAGCGTCGTTTATCCGAATCAATTGGGACCGGACACCTTTCGGATACGCGATTGTTCGGATAACCGAAAACCGAATGCGATCCATGCAGTATATGAATAGTGAGTGAGTGAATATTAACGACACATTGTTTAGATACACGAGGGCTTTTGGCGACGGACCGCGTAATTTTGAACCATGGTCAAGTGACGCGGACGACACCTGAGCTGGCACCCCCTTCTCCTAACTACCACACCACACCAACGGGTTGCAGTATATAAAACCGGACACTATACGAATATTGAAAATCATCACATGCAGTTCATTACATGCCATAGCAGTTCACAACTCAATAAAAGAGCACGCATACACCCCTCACTTAAAAACAAACTGACCTAATATTCCGCGCAGATGTTTACCAAATCACCCAACTGAAATTCCCCAAATATCCCGCACCTTGAGTTTTCTCGTTACTTTTGGCTTCACGCGAACTAACTGTTGAGCATTGCACTCTTCGAAAACGTATTCATATACAGTACATGTAGATGACAAAAACAACAACAACAACAAAAAACTGGTTCGGATATTTGACGCTCCGGATAATAAACGTTTGGATAAACGATGTTCTACTGTATATGCTTGTTTTTTTTATAAGAATCATAAAACAAAAACTTAATGAAATTTAATATAAAAATTTTTTCAAGTTTTTAAAAAAAACATTGAGTTCTTAGAACATAATCTGATATTTTTCTTTGTTTATTTATCCAATGCCCGTGCTTGGCTTCTTGACCATTTGACGCCGAGCCTCCCAGTACCGGCTGACGATATCATCAGTCGGGTATTCATCGAGTCTAGTGTATTGGAGCAGGTGGTCGCCATCAATTCTAGCATAGCCACAGAGTTGGCAGGCCTCTTCAGCAGCCAGTCCAAGCCAGCGGAGGTATACTCCCAAAATGTCATGTCCGGTGGTTAGCGGACAGCCTCTGCTGTCTTCGGGTGCCTCGGGATTGGGCCCAAGTTTTCCCTGGCTTTCCAAGGCTCTTGGTTTAAATAATAACCGTCGAACCAGCCAGGATTCGAACCTGGAATCTCCTGATCTGTAGTCAGGGGCGTTACCCGTGCGCCACAAGTCCTGGTTTCTTTGTGTTGTCTTTTTCAGCATGAAATAGTCAACAAAATTTTTCAAAGTCGTTCATTTTGTCATTCATTTTACCATTTGAAAGCGGATCTAAATAACTGCGTTTTCATCGTCCGAATCTGCATCAATTATATTTTATGAGCTTTGAACAAACACCAAAATATTTTTGTCCGCCATAATTGGGGCTTTACGCAGATTATCGTCATCTGCTGCAACAAATTCTTCCGATGATACAGTAGGACGCAGTCTAATAATACAGAAATTTTCTCAAACACTTCTTTAAGTGTCGGCTCAGTTTCAATATCCTCTTTCTTCTAAAAGGGAGATCTTTTCTTGTTAAGTGATTTTCGCTTCGTATTAAGAGGGGAAAAACGCATGTAAATCCATAGTAGTTTGTCGGGACCGTTGTATTATTTCGTGTTAACTGATATTTCGTCTGAAACGGTTTCGCTTAAACATATTTTACTGTATGTTGTGTTTAGTGTAGTTTCATCGGCAGGTTTGTTTAGAACTCCAGAAGTACTTACTGATAGTTCATCACTTAAATGGAACAAAAGAAACATATCCGCGCGTTTTAAGAAATATAGAATACTTTCTGAAAAGTAGCTAAAATCTCAGTAACGTTACACTTTTAAAGCGAGCTACTAGTGAAAATTCGTTAAAGTTTGCTAAAAAGAATTTCTTTTTTCCCTCGCAAATATCTATGATTCAATGCATTTGCTTATAATGTTGCAGTATGAACCCACGAATATATATTCAATGGTTATTTTATCTATATATATAAAGGAGAAAAGCGACTGACTGACTGACTGACTAATCACGAAATCTCTGGAACTATTCAACCTACAGACTTGAAATTAGGTAGACATGTTCTTTCATAGAGTAGACATCAGCTAAGAACGGATTTTCCGAAATTCCAAGCGTAAGGGCGTTACGGGAGTTAAGGGCGTTATAAATAATTGTTTCCATGTTTAAACTACTCAATGTATAATTTTGAAATTGGGTTAGCAGATTCCTTTCATACAGTAGAAATCCACTACAAAATGAGTTTGATGAAAATCGACCCCAAGTGGCGTTGCAGAGGCTTAGAGGGCGTTATAGATAATTATTTCCATTTTTAAACTATTTGACGCACTGTCTTTAAATTTGATAAATAGATTCCTTTCGTAGAATAATGATCAGTTACAAAACGGGTTTTGTGAAAACAGACTTCTAAGTGGCGTTGCGGGGATTAAGGGCGTAATAGATAAATATATTCGTTTTTAAACTACTTCACCTACCTGCTTGAAAATTGTAGGTAAATTTCTTTCATGGAGTAAATATCCGCTACAAAATGGGTTTTTAAAAAATTGACCCCAAGGGGTGTTGCGGGGTGGGGGATTTAAGGGCGTTACAAATTCTGATTTTTTAACTATTAGACGTACAGTCTTGAAACTTAGTAAGCAGATTCCTGTCATAGGGTAAAGATACGCTACGAAATGGGTTTCGTGAAAATTTTGCCCAAGTGGCGTTGCGGGACTTAAGGGCGTTATAGATAATTATTTCCATTTTTAAACTATTAGACGCACAGTCTTTATATTTGCTTTCATAGAGTAGAGATCAGCTATAAGAAGGTTTTGTGAAAACAGACCTCTAAGTGGCGTTGCGGGGATTAAGTGGCGTAATAGATAAATATTTTCGTTTTAAACTACTTGACCTACCTGCACAAATATAATAAAATCTAATTCTAAAACACAATTCAAATACATTGAGAAATAAAACATTTTTATCTAAAGTTAGTTTTCGTAGTTATAGTCTGTAGAAGACTTCGTTTGCGAACTGTCAGCCAATCTTGAATATTTCCGTATACAATTACTAAGGGCTAATCTTCAGGCGGTCACTCCAAATTGTCTTGGCGGTCCACCTGTCGATCGCGATCGACGTAATGCCCACCCGGCTCTAGGGGATCCGCGGAATCTTTCATGTAACCTTGAGATTTCCCTCTTTCACAGACTGTGAAAGGCCTCGTGGAAGAATTGAAAGTTGTGCCATACTATACTAGATTACTAAATGGACCTCAATGAAGAAATTCAACTGGAACTTGTATTTTGATCAAGGGTATTAAGTCGGGGAATGTTTAAAATCTTGGGGGTCCGCGATGTCACCCTGATACATAAGGAAGGGGGGGGGGGCGATCGAAAGTGTGAGAACCGCTGGTGTGAAGGATTACTCGTCCTTCCCCAGTTTAAATTTGCAGGATTCCTGGATATATGAGAAATTAATCCACGATGGTTAACATTTCAGTCATTTTGAGTAATAAATATTAAAAAGAGAGAGATATAACGTTAATACTTCATAGAGATTTTTATCAACACATATTCATTGGAAAAGCGTCATCCAAAATTTCATAGAAATTTTGGAGCTGTCTAAAGGTATGGTTCAATAAGTGAATTAGTAACGGTAATTTTTTCGATAAATGAAACTGCATCAGGTGTTTCTTATCTTTTGTTAAAAATCGCCTTAGTGTCTTTGTAGTGATTGTACATCATTGGTTTTCATATTTTGTTGTTGTTGTTGCACCTCTTAGCTGCAAGCTAAAATCAGATGCAACCTCTCCCAGACTGGTTAGTTGTAAAAAATATGCTATGATTTTTTTTCTAAGAGATTTTTCTCGTGTGTTGTCCTCGTATCTCTTAGAAAATCTTCGCTTATTTCATAGATACGGGTGCCACAAATGGAGAACACCTACTTATACGATAACCAATATTTCAGCGAGTTGTATTGCTTGGTTAATTAAAAGAATGAAGTGCTGCTGGTGCGTTGCATTCTGCATGTTTTCTCTTGATTGAAATCAAGTTGCAATTAGTTTAAATTTGAATTTTTTTCTTACTGATTTTGTGGACGTTGGTAAACGCCAAGCTGAATATTAAATTTGATGTTGAACCGTTGTTCACAAATTGCTGACATTTTGTCAAAAATTAGAATGCAACGGCACTTATTCACTTTTCTTCACTTATCGGCGGTCTGCCGATAGCTAATAGCTTCTGCAGGAATGAAAGAATTCACACATGCACACATTAGGCTGGCCCACAAACCTGCATCAAACTGTGCATCTTTCGCTTCATTTTGGAAAAATTATTGTTATATTCTTTTTTTTAGAACACATCTTTTTTTAAAAATTTTCTTTGTTGTATCTCACTTTTTTTGTTGCTAATGGTTGCTTATTTTTCTATTCTTTATAAACGCGCTTCTTTTTTGTGAAAATAGTATTTTAAGTGTAAAATGTTCTTGCTTCCATAAATCTCTTACTTGGTTTCTTGGTCATTATGATTTTAATTCTTTGTTCATTTCCCGCGAATTCTAATTAAAAAAAGTTATTTTCTTAGTATTATTCTATTACCACTACAAAGAATGCAATTTCAACGAGGAGTGATTGTGCTTTATGACAAGGTCACACAACAATTTAAAAATCTTGTTTTGAACTATTCCGACTACGTTCGGAACCGTGATTTTGTAAAAGCGTATAAATGAAAAAATTTTTATGATATTTAATGTGACTAGATTCGAATACATTTAAAAAATTGTTTAAGAATATTATTACAATGAAAAACTATTTAAGTGCAATATTTTGGCAAAAAAACAACAACTTAGAATTACTTAATTTCAAAACATTCTTTTATGTGAAAAATGCTTTTATTATTATTATATTTTGCTTATACATAGCTAAGACTTCTCCCGAGAGCTTGAACTAGAATTTTTGAAAAATTCATATTATTTTAGAGTTACTTCCAATGTGTAAGTAATTACCGGTGTTTTTTGTTAAAATTTCTCCTCTTTGATGTATTGAAATATGAATAAATCCACCTCTAAGTTATATACAGTGGACTCTCGATAACTCGAAGTTGGAGGGACCAATGAAAAACTTCGAATTATCAAGAGCGTAAGAAAAAACTCCCGAAATTTTTTTTCAAGCACATTTATGTAAAAAAAACAACGATTATACGTATGTATACAAAGTATTTTAAAAAGTACATATATTATCCAGTATAAATATTATACAGAAAAGTTCTGAGTCTTGTATTAAAAAAAAGAAACGAGCCTTACAGTAGTCGCATACGATGTGTAACATCTGACATGTTATCGTGGTAAATTCGCAATAGCAACTTAAATCCTGAAAAAAAGGAATCGAGTATGATTGGAAATAATTTTCTATGGAATAATTATATCTTTAATGAAAATTTTATTTAATTAACACAAGGAGAAATGCAATTTTTTATCAAAAATAATTATTCTTGTTCAATTTGGGGAAGAGCGGTAATGATAACTTATGATTTCAAAGTATTTAAAAACCGTTGAAAAATAGCGTCAATAACAGTACCACTGTAAGTTGTCGAAACAATTCGATTTGTGTTCATTTCGAGCTTGAGTTCATCATTCAAAAAAGCTATGAGTGGTTCGGCTTCTAGCAAACTGAAGTTAACTTTTAAATCACCACTCAAAATCATGGGAAGCGAGTGATAGTTTTTTTAAAAAAAATGAGCAGAACCACCTTCGGTATTTGGTAAAAGTAAAAAATGCAGGAAATCTTTAATTTTTTGAACCGTTTGATTAGGAGAAATGTATACGACCACCGAAATCACTGTTTGTCCATTTTCAAATAAGGATTCATCCGCACATATGTCCCCAATATCTTGACTGACAATACCCAGTCCACTTGTTTGACGATAAGTAATATCCAAATGTCGAGCCACAACATGTGTGTTGTTCTGTTTACGATAGATCGCAACACCAGCTGCTCTGTGGCCCGGTCATGTAAATTGTACGCAGCAATCGAAGTCGGGTATCGAAACACGTTCGTCATTGTCTAACCACGGCTCTGCCTAAAGGCTTTTCTCTGATCCTAAAGTGAGAAAACAAAACAAAAACAAAGATCCCACGGCCTAGACCGTAAGGGGAGGGGGATGAGGGCGGAGCCCCTCCCGAATGAAGGAGAAAAAACAGAAATTCACTGAATAG